GGTCAATAGGGCAATGGTTATATGATCGATGTGCTTACCTGTGCTGTTATGCTATATATACTTTTCTTTCTGAAAAATTTCCAGATGAGGATGGATTCGCGGTTCTGTGGTCTAGTGGTATGATTCTCGCTTAGGGTGCGAGAGGTCCCGGGTTCAATCCCCGGCAGAGCCCGCTTCTTTTTCTTTCACGAGGCATTTGTCGCCATCCCGTCTATTTTTTATTTAGCGTTTCTATTTGATACACGTTGACGACGAGGCGCGTAGAACCAGAGATTGGAATATTGGTGTGGGAAACGTGACTAAAATAACTGGGCTCAAAAAATCGGAAAGCAGTAGAGACCGAGATACTGCGCTTGTTTATACATGTAAAAATGCTCCCCTGGTTCACTAAGAGCAACATATAGTAGTGTAAGATCTACGTATATCAATCCATTGCCATTGGGAAGGCTATCCCCATCCCCAAATCAGCTTTTGGAGGTTGAGTGCACAGCAGACATACTTGGCCTGGAAGAAGCGACACTCGCAAACGAAAGGCCAACATACATCATGCATTTCGTCATCCAAGAATCCCAGGGTAGTTGCGACGGCTGTAGGGCGGTATGCATTTCAATCTGGTGTGGTGCAAGGTAGATGAGTAGCTGCTGATCAATTAATGTGGCATTATATGGTACGAGCTAGAGATACACTTGCGCGCAAAGGAATGAGAGATAGAGAGGTTGGTTGGACACGAGAGAATGTGGTTAGGCATTGTGATGGCGGCTATTGGAGTGACGGCTGCGAGCAGAGAGGTGATTCAAATAAGGGGGGTAGGGTTAGGTGCAATTCTGGCGCATGTGGTGGTAGTACAAATGCTGGTGGCTTGCAATTATTCTCTGGCATGGACATCCATAATTAATCGAGGCCAAAGCCAAGGTGGTAAAGAAATGGTAAGATGGTACGTGCCTGTCATCTATCAATGGTGGAACTATCTACCAAGGAGTGTCTGGATGAGATGGAACTTGAATTCAAGGTCAATACCAAGAGTATCATGACAGAGTGAGAGAGATGTAATGTTCGTCACTGGTACAGCTCCATGTGGACTTGAGCAGAAAAAGCGCCTTTGGTCTCATTCATCCAGTATAAGTGAGCACGTATAATAATACCCTGAACTCTGCTGCTGCTGCTATTGTTGTATTTGATACCACACCAAGGGCTAGGGCACTGCTGTGAGTGCCAGTGTACGAAGAGGCCCACTTTTTTAAATAGTATTACCACTATTATGAAGGAATGGCGAAGGAAAAGGCCAGCACAATTGCGTTCAGGTGTTGTAGATGGTACTACTACTACTACTACTGTACGCCGAGGCTGGGGTTACATGCAGCACTGGGAGCATTATTGGCCAGCAGGTTCTCGCTGGGACATTAATAAAAAGATACACTGTGCTAAGAGTCGTGCGGTTCTTTGGTTAATATATCATCATCAGGTGTTAAGTGTGTGTGTGTGTGTGGGTTGTTAGGTCGTACAGCTCTGCTCTAGTTCTGGTTTTAAGGCCGAGTGAGAACGGGTTTTGTGTAGAGATAAAGGGGGAGAGAGAGATAGAGAGAGAGAAAGTGGGACTGTGTGTGGCCGGTCATAGTGCGTTTAGTATTGGCACTGATATTATCAGCGGACAACAATCAATGAAGCCAAGGAATGCTGCATTATATGTTGATTAGTCCTGTTCATATATACTACGTACTTGTTTGACTATACACATGCACCCTTCATACTGTGTAGCCTGGTGGTGTCCTGTTGTTTTGCGCATATGTTTGTATGTGGGTG